CGACAGGCATCCTAAGCCAACGATATTGCATCCGTGAAATAATAATAAAGTATAAATGGATCAAGTTTACGGTTCTACGTGCATAGGAGAGTCGCGAGTATGCATTTTATCGGCAGTTTCGCTACCTTTATGAGCTTCCTCGCACCACGCGAAGCAACGTGCATGCATTTTTCTTTTTTCTTTTTTAGATCACGTATTTTCGGAACATTTCCGGAGAAATTTGACGAAAAGCGTACCGATAAATATGTATATCGAGTAAATGAAATTTTCATCGTAGCGCGTATACTTGAAGATTCGAGGGGGAAAGTTAGTTTAAAAATCAGCGTTGCTCGAGTATTTGCGGTTGATCCTCGAATTTTAATTCCGGCTGACGTTAGATCACGACGATCCACTAATGGCCCAACGAAAATGTCCCTCCTGACGACGTAACGCAGCATGAAACAGTAGGCGGTCTGGGTAATGCGTCTTGCCACCCTCGGACAGGATCCCGACCACCGTCATCAATCAGGCTCGCATCTCGCCAACTTATGTAGTATTTATTTTCATTAAATATTAGTCGCTCGCGCCATCAGACTGCCCTTTTTCCCTCCCAAAAGTACAAAGAATATTGCCCTATTTCCCTCGCGAGGTTCGTTCGCGAATGAAAATTAACGAAATATACAGTGGTCGTATTCGTTGTCGAAAATCAATATCACGTTCCAGCGACAGTTGCACAATTCCTGAATATTTATTTGTTGCTAGAAAGTTCAATCAAGCCGATACGATGTTACGACTCCATGATAAACCATCGGCAATAATGTAAATGAAATATTTTCAATTTTTAATCGTCATTTTGTAACAGTCACCGTATCGGTTTCACAAGCTGGATTAAATTCGTTGAATTTCACCTATCAGCAGAGAAGCATCGAACGTATCCAGAATAGCTACATCATCGTTTAGAATTCAACGCATCGTAGTCTCTGTCTGACGAGTGATTGCTAATTCTACTTGTGTCCGTGTGACGAGGGAGAAAAAAAAAAAAGAAGAGAAAGATCGTGCGGGGTGAGGGATTGATCGTCGTGGGACAGAAGAGAATGGCGGGCGATGAATTAAGTTTTCATCGCGGAGGAACCACTTCAAGACCTCTGGTTGGCTAACGCGAAAAAGTGTGGAAAAGAAAAACGTTAGCCCGCTTTGCGGCGATTCTGGGCATTTTTCCGCGAAGCGAGTCGAACTATTCTTCAATGGCGTGCTGAAAGCTACTTCTATATATCTTAGGGTCTTGGGCAGATCCCGCCGCTTGCCTTGATGGCAAGCTCAATTTATATCAGCGCCCGTTGAAACCCCCTTTACGAGGTCTCGCCGCCTCTTCCACCACCTAAACCTCACCCTAACCTCAGCCCACCCCTGACTCGCCTGCTCTGACCGAACCTTGCTTCTTGCCACCTTCGCCAGACCCCCCTCACGAGAGCTCGAAAACTCTTTTCTCGAGTTAAACTAAGCTATTCGCGATTGCACGGGAGAAATGGAATCCGGGCATTCAACGGAGGGTGAAATCTCGTAGTCATACACGGTTCTCGCACGTCTGAAATATCCGTTTGATTAAATATTCTTTTTATCAACGTCCTCGCATCGTCGTGCTCGTATTAATAATCGAGGTTAATTATAACGAACGTTTGTATTCATTGGTGATTTCGCCGGCGACTTACCACCACATTCGCTAATTCACATGCACACGACGAATCCCAAACGAGGGTAATCGTTTATGCAAATTCAACGTCAACTTGGTAGGCGGCTGGACTGTCGAGTAAATTCACTCTGCATCGGCAGGGAAAAAGTAAATCTCGGTTAGTAAAGCGTGTAATTAAACCACGTACGAGGGTTTCGTAATGAATTTTCGTCGCGAGAAATGTGTCTAGCTACAACGTAGGTAGGTGGAATTACTACGCGGTATATTCAGATGGTTTTCTTTTCGATCAGGATCGAAACACCAGTCATCAACTGACCGGACTGATGCTGATTATTCGAGAACGTTTGCGTTCGTTTCCACCCTCGACGTGATTCCAGGTGCTTCCTGGGAACAGCTGCCGCGGCGCACGCGCCTCCGCAACGGCGGTGCGGTGATTGATCAATTTTTAAAAAGCAATGTTCCTAATTGACCCGCCGGCCCGTCTCGAGGCGAGGTATTATGGCCACGAAAGGCATCAGTCAAGCAACCTTAGTCATCGAAAGGTGTGTTCCGTGATTCGATACAGCCGGTTCAGACCTTTTACCCTTTTTCTTTTCCTTACCTTCTCTGTACACACGCGTGTCGAAAGAAACACCGTATAGACGTCGCTGATTTCTTCTTAAACGTTTTCATTTGTACCGCGAAATGTTTAGTCGCCAGCATACGATAATATTGAACGATGATTGCACGACAGTAGCGACGTTCACCAGAACTATTATCGATTCGATATTCCCTAATGGCGATAGTGCACGATTTTTAAGGTATATGAATTTAATGATCGCTAATCTATCATACTAGGTATGCAATTAGCGAAGCAGACCACCTTTGTCCGCGTGTCATCATAGAGAACGATAGTTTCATTCCTGTCATAGCGCGGCTCGTATCGTGATATCTGTAATTAACACAATTTCATACGGTATCCGTGATCATCTGAACGGGTGTGTTTTACACGTAACGCGATTCTATTACACCCGATGATTATTAACGAAACCACGACAGTGTCTTATTGTCGCTCGAAATGAACTGAAATGGAAACACAACTATGTAGAATTACACTGGATATCTCGTGTAAGTTAGTTCGTCGGAAATTAGACGAAAATTATCAGAGAAAAAGAGGGTAGAATCTTAGCGACAACGGGTAAAGAGACGAGCGATCGTCCGACGCCCAGCGTCCGTTTATCGTCGACGAAAGCTCTCGTTTCGCCTGCACCGATTTCGTAACAGGAGTCATTAGCATTCACCTGCGTTAATTAACGGAAGTTCTGGCGTACGTATATGCGGGATGCACGAGGCACGCGCAGGAGGGAGGTGAAACGGGGTTTGCACGTGATAATGCGCGATATATACGTCGACAGTCCCTTGCGCTTTTTCCCTCTTCTGTCTAGCTATCGTGGATGCTCACGTGGCGTGTAACAGCAAATTATCCACGGGCTTTTAGCCGTAGTTCTGGTGTAGTTGTACCGTGAAATCGGTGCAACCACACCCACGGATACCGCAAAGAAACATTGACACCGTTGGCAAGACAAAGGGGATCGAACGAGGGAGGAACAGGTTTTGCATACTCTCCGCGGTTGCTTCTTCTCGACCTACAGAGGGGGAAGCAGCAGCAAATATACTGTACATGTACCTATACGAGATACATCTCGAAACGGGGATTCGCGTGACATCTGCGAGACGTTCGGATGATCGTCGTGTGTGAGATTTAGATGGATAGTATTATCGAGAAATGCTGCGCCAATGAATGATCTATAGACAACGATTTGATCCCAATGCACTTAACACCCATCCACCACTAATGCTATTCTCTCGTCACGAGCGTTCATCCTTGAGCGGCAACGGACGTGCCAGATGTTCCTAAGCTCCGGCAAATGAACCAACGTATCCCGAGATTATAACAAGTCTCTCGAATACTCGTAAAAAAAAAAAAAAAGAGGAAAACGAAGCAGGAAGAACGAAGATCGTAAAGAGCGAATTACATTCTATCGATAAGTGTATCTTCGTGTGGTTTATCTGTATCATCCGAATGAAATCCTCCAGGTAATTCAAACTTTCAACTTATTTCTTCTTACCTACACATAGCTACCTGTATAGAGTTTCTTCTTCCCAAATAAGACAAGTAACATTCTCGAAAGTTCACAGACAAGTATAGGTCTAGCCGAGAGATATAACAGCCGGTACTTGTAGTTTTCATTCTAGGGGGGTGGTGGAACTTAGCCTCGCTCATAATAAACCGCCTTCGTTGGAGAAATCCGACGATCGCTTTCTGGCAATACCTGGAGTACACTGGAGCGTGTAAATCCCATATATCCAATTAGATTCGTATAATCCCTGCATGTTAGCAGAGGGTGTCTCCACCCCTTGTGCTGGCTGGACTGTTTCGTTCTCTCTCGCCCTCCCCGGAAGCAGTAGACTGCGGACTCGCTTTCCACAGGTAACGCGTTTCGCTACGTGTGCGTTGGAGGCGCAAGCGCGCATCGTGCTCTAATGCTAAAGTACTAATTTATGGGCACATATGAGATGGCTATAGCGTGGCTCGCCGTACCAGGAAAGGGACTGTAGCCCGTGGAAGCAGGGTGGCGGGCGGGACTGGTGGGGGATGTAGGACGAGGGTATATCGGAGAGCACAGGGGTGGGCTTTGCATGCGATATCAATAAATCAAGTCCCCGGGACCCTGGCAGCTTAGGGGGCCACTACGTGGCCAGAATCAACAGCTCATAACGTCGGCTAATAGCTACTCGCCGTGGGGTCGAAGATATTGTCGTAACGCCCAGGGACATCTTAACGTCGCACGCCGAATTTGCTTTCCGCGCCGGCTGTGAAAGAGTCGCCGATGAAATGAACGACGATCGACTGCTCGTTTCGTGCTTTCCTTTTCTCACGTCTGAGGAGTGAGTTGTTCTTGGCACTTTTTCGATTCTTCGATTTCTTTGTGACTAGGAAAGAGTCGTTTTTGAAATTTGTAAAAACAGTAACCTTTACCGAGAATTCCACGAATTCGATTGACAACGCCGAATCTTGCGAATAATTAGAAATCGGACATTTAACGCGAATTAATGATAAAGTTGCATGGTAAACTTGTTCGAGATAATTGAACGTGACACGACGGAATATGTATAAATGAGTTTCTATTCTACAAAATTGATACAGAAATCTGTTTCATCTACACGAGGGTAACTCCCTCGAATCCGTGCGAAATGAACAAGGTGGCACTTACCTGTTACAGTTGTCAGGACGTATAATTGAACTCGCGAGATGATCGAACGAACTCTGAAGCTGTTTGTGCGTTTCCAGGTGTGGTTTCAAAATCGTCGTGCGAAGTGGAAAAAGGGGAAGAAGTGCCGTCACGTATTCCGCCATCCGTCAGGTCCGTTGCGGCCATCGCACGTTTTGCCACCGTACACATCGATGAGCGCCGATCTCTGTGGCGCTGGAATGTTCAGTGCGACTCCTGAAAGATGGGGTATGGGTACAGGTTAGTGAAAAATCTGCAAACTTTCGAGAGAACCAAAAGAAAATGAACGTTAAAGTGTCGCGTTGAACTACAAGAGTATTCCTCCCGGTAGAACGTAGGATTACGCGAGCCGAAACGAAGGGTGGAGAAGGTGATTCGCGGGCAAGAGGTTATTTAATCGCAACAAATTGCCCGGTTTTACATTAATTATATTCAATTTGAAGCGTCATCGCGCGTACACGTTATCTTATTACCAGCGTTTCACACGCGGTTACGAGGGAGACACGGTGTCTTAAATAGCCGGAGTGTAGACGAAGTCTCGACAGTATTCCCCGCTTCTAATTTAATTTCGTGTGTCCATTGTGCGGGACAGTTTAAATTATCCCCGCGTATCGTCACTTTTACAGCTTTCCGACGAATATCCTCTCCTCTTTCCTCGTTTTTCTCCTCCCCTCTCGTTCTCTGCCCTTCCGATCGACAAACCCTTCGTGGTCCCCCTCCTCCTGTATCGCGTCTTCACCAGTTCCGCGTCACGCGATACGTTTAATTGAAACCTCTTGTTTTACAGGTCTCGGACAATTGGGACAGAGTGGTATGGGTATGAGCGGTTTCGGGCAAAGTTTAGGGCAACTTGGTCAGCAAAGCAACTTGGGTCTTGGTAATTCTGGACTCCCGATCAGCAGTCCGTCGCAGGCCGTCTATCAAGCCAGTTATGGGCTGAATTCCCTTGGTAAGTTAATCTTATACATAGATTAGCGGTAACCCTAAGATTCCACCAAGCCGAAGAGGATTCTTTGGAAGGAGTAGAACTCGGTTCGTAAGTTCGTCACCGTAATTCTGCCTAGTTTGACCAACTAATTATTACGTATTACCGGTGATAATGCTGGTATATCAAGAATATGAATCAACGTTAAACGAAGAGAAGACTCGAGACCCTACGTAGCTTCTTCTTTTCTTTTTCTCTTTTTTTTTTTCACAACAGACAGAAAGATAGCAATTGTGTTTGTGCAATTTTTTTTAAGGACCAGTCCAGGTTTTATAAGGCGCAATCGTACGAGGTCGTCGAGTATTCCAAGGGATAATAAAATTTTATCGTCGTGTCGGTCTTTAAAGCGTGATTTAGACCGGCATCGATCGTCGTCAAACGGATCTCCTTTTTTTCTTTTTAGTAGAGGAATATTTTCTATCCCGAGGAAAGAGGAAAAAAAAAGAAGAGAATATTACGACGGAATATTAACGTGGCGTACAAACGCAGACGCTTATAGGCGGTTCGATAATCGTCTTGCCAAACTTTTCGACCGTGGCCCTCTAAAAAAGACGACGTGCAAACAGTATCGAGGAACCCGGTACCTCTTTGACGAAGTCGTTAAACGTTACGGTGCATTATCGCTCGAAGGGGTTATGCGCCTGCATGTAAGGAATTTGAGACAGAAACATAAACTCCGTCCTCTCGTCTGTTTACGCAGGCAAACCTCGAGCCCGGTCTCGCACCTAGGTGCGAGATCTTTCGCTGTATGTTTACCATAACATCCCGATGCAACCTGTCTTGGTTGAGTTACGCTTCGAGCTTATCCAGGGAGGGACCTTGTACCTTCGGAGACTGCCTTTGGAAGACGCGAGAGAGACGTGTGTGAAATTCTTTGTCTCACCAAATTCTACCCATCGCACGAGTCCGGTCGCTTTCTTTCTCTCTTTCGTATATACCACCGGTCGACGAAACCTTTTTAAAAGGAACATAGGCCCGAGAAGAAGCTCGAAACAGCTCGGAGAGGAAAGTTGAACGATCGACCAACAGTTTCTTCCTTCGTTTTTCTACCGACCGAGAAGTGTGTACGGTGATCGAAAAAGGAAAGAAGAAGGTTTTCGAGAGAGAGAAAAAAAGAAAAAAATGTATGTAAATGAGTAAGGGCTGTTTCTTCGGAAGTAACAAAGCGATTGTTCCGAGAATCGTGACGAAAGGTTGTTGAAGGGAAGAATTATCGATATCTATCTATACAACACGTCGAAGAACTTCGCTTTCGGTCCGGTGTCTTTTCTCAATTATTCTCCTCCATATCCGTTCAATAATTCATATTTAAAAACATCATATCGAATGCTGTCGTCACCAAATGCATATTGGCACGTATAAATGGATTAATCCCGACGGATATGCATGCACCGTCATTTCCCGAGGTCAACAACTCCTAACATCGCCCTTTTTTCTCCCGGCCCGTGCAAACATTTTTCGGTCGATCGACAGAAAATTCGAATATCGTTCTCCCGTTTCGCCGAGGGCTCGTCTATAATTACATCTTCGACGAACGAGCGATAATTGAAAAGCAATATTTGTAGTAAGGGGGGACACTTGTAATAAGGGGAAAGGACAATCATAACTCGGAAGATCGATAAAAAGAATATCCGACACTTACGCGAAAACGATTATCTGCTAGGGAAAAAAGAAAAAGAAAAAAACGGTATGTTGCATTTTCCTAGAAATTAGTATCGTCGTTTCTGTATTATTCTAACATTAGAGTTACTCGAAAGAGGCAGAATACCCATCGAACGGGCAGATTTTGAGCCAAGTGGCGAAACTGCCAGTAGGTGTAGCACAGTTTCACAATGTACCCACTAATGTGAGCGTGTCTCAAACGCGAACACGTACCTGTGTACATACGTAACACGTACAAGGTGTCAATTATCACGTATTATCGCCGCGGGGCAGGTAGCGTCAACCGAATGGAGAAGAAAAAAATTGCCGTTCCACAGGCGTAATTCACCGTCCGTGTGGTCACGGTTTAAGGTGGATGCCAATACTCCACAGGCTGACCGCAGTCAGTTAACCGCTTTTACTCGTCGGTAATGCCTAGGGCAAACACCTTTTAGAGAAACGTCTTATTTTTTTCGGTTTTCGATGATGATTAGCATCGAACGGTAGCGTGGACGAGGTTCGCCGGTTCTCCAAGTCCGATTACGGGGCCTCTATTTTGTTTATTCTCGTCTACCAGTTGCCGGGTAACTTAAAGAACGTCTATGAGGTGTAAATTAACGCGGCCGAAAATGCCCGATTTTCAAGTCACGAGAAGACCCCCGGAGCGTTTTTAAAAGTCAACGTCGTAACCGACCAGCCTCTTTCCATAAATCAGATTTGCTCGTTAAATCGTTCTTTGTTTTGCGAGAGACAACGTAGAGTAGAAGAAGAAAAGAAAAAAAATCGAATGTTTCGTCAGGTTAAATTGTAGCACGAGTTAACCAAGAAACAGCCGTGTAACATCACGCGCATCGACGCCATTAGCTATTCCATTCTTCCCTCGCTAAAAGGGGCGGCCCCGTAGTAGTCCTCCGCAAACTCGTGCTCTCGCCTCGCGATACCCGCCATAAAAGGATCCCTTTTCCCCCGTTGTCTCTCTCTCTCTCACTCTCTCTCTCTCTCTCTCTCTTCCTGAGGCCACCAACGTGGCGCAAGAAAAGGCGGAAACGACTTTACGACACCCGGTAGCGCACCCCAAAGCACTTTGTGAGCCTACCGTATTAATATCTCCTGCGAAGAAAGGAAACGTACTATCCGCGTGCACCTGTACCGTATCGTACAACACCTGTAAATTGCCCTTTCGTTACCTGGGGCCCCACCTCCTATCACCCCATTTTCTATCCACTGACTATTCGGCGCGCGCGACTAAACAACCGTTAAACTTTACAACGTAAAACACTGTAATGTCCAATTGAATAACCTCTATCGGATATTACCTACAACCTGTGATCCGTAATCCAAAGCAAACAAAAATACGACGCAGATAAAACGGCGAAGGAAAAAAGATCGTAAAAAAATCGTCAAGTCCATGTTGTATTCTGACTTGCAGGGGGTATGCACGTGTCAGCGTCCCGGGGCTCACCTCCGGGAGGATCGAGCATGGGCGGCGGTCAGGGTGGGCTGGGATCGTCCTTGAACTGCGGCCAGGGCTCGCCTGGGACGACTTCCGGCAGCGGAGGTGGTGGCGTTTCCTGCGTGGCAGCCAACGTGAACACGTCCGAGGCGTCGGATTGGAGAGCCATCGGTTCGCTCAGGCGTCGTGCCTCGGACGCGTCGCAACAGTACAGTCCGCAGCCGCCGCCGGCACCACCTGCAGGACCACTCCAATACTCTCAGGACATAGAGTATAATTCCGTTTATTGAGGCACACCGAACTTTTCGATTAACTCAACAATCGAGGACACGTTTCTTCAAGGATTCTCCTCGTGGACGCCGGTTCCAAGCGGTCGTCGACGTGCAGGGTAGTATTGTAAAACGCGAGAGGGAATCGCACGGTGTTTCGAGGATGTTTTCGCAGAGCCTGATGGTAGTAGTCGATCGGGAAGACAGGCATCGAATCGCCTCTCCTTGGAGGGATAAGGGCAGCTCCGTTTTCACCGATTTCAACGATAGACAGCAATCACGGTTACCGGTGGATTCTGTCTGTCGAGGATGTTCTCGATGGTAAACGGAGTATCTGTTGTCGAGAGGAGGGATTCTGTTTTTTTCTTTTTTTGTTGTTACGTTTAAACTGGCACTGGCCGTGTCATATGGAAGAACGACGAGTTTGAAAGAACGTGGAAAATTCGTTATACTTGATAGAAATTAAGTCACAGAAGACGAAGGATGGAAAAGGAGGGAAGCTGCAGCAACAACGAATTTTTGTCGTTTCTACTAACGGTAACGAAAAATACACACTTGGTTTCCATTCTTGCTTGCCCGGTCAATCTTCATCGGGGCGACCGTAGAATTTCTATGGGCTTCAGCCGATGATAGCGGAGCCTTTTCTTTCAACGATTGCGCGTGATCGTGATGTTCGAGAGTAACGAAAGAAAGTGAATGTTTGGACTGAACAAGGTACATTGAGATGCTTTTTAAGGAAATATAAATGACAAATACACGGAGGAACGACAGAGGAAGGCTTGACTTGATGGAGACTTCTTCAAGAGGATTCGCGTCACATTGAAGCTGTGCAACACTGAGAAGACGCGTTGGTTACTTCGTATCGTTCGTCGGACGATTTCCTACGTTCCATGTTACTTCGCGACATGGCTGATTGAAAATTTGCAATTTTTACACGTACGATTCCTTCGTTGTTACATCGAAACGCAAATACTTCAATTTTTCATCGATATTTCATTTCGTTCACTGTCTCTGCAAACGAATTCCACGTGATCGAGTCAATTTGTTCAGTCGAAAACTGAAACGAAAATTTATTTCACCCCTATGACGAATTATTTTCTTCCCTTTCTTTCTTTGTCTGTTCTATGTTCTTTCAGAGGAATTCTGCGAATCGATAGATAACAAAATTCGCGAGCCGTGGCACGGTGTAACGAAAAAAGTATACGACAAGTTATTATAGTATTACGTATGGCATTGTAAATATAGTGAAAAATTGGCGTAACAAATATGATCGATTATGATTAACCCGTAACCGGTGACGTCCCACTTTTCTCGCATAAACAGTGACGTGGAGCTTCAGAGGCTTCTCTCAAATTTATTTGTAATATATACCGGAGTTGCGAATGCCTTTGTTACATATTTGAAGAGATACTTTTGTACGTTTTGTCCGAAACCGCTAAAAAGTTGTCTTCGCGGCACACAGCGTATCGTAAAGAAAAGGAAACTATAGATGGAGATATATTTTTTTCTTATTTATCAGTTGTTCGAGAGAATATCGAAAATGTGCAACGAGCTTTTGGTATAGTAGCAAATAAACAAGAATTTTTACAAACTTTCTGTGCACACGTTAATCGAATTGGTTTTTTACATTCAAAACACGTCTTTCTATGTAGCTTTGCTCAACTTTGATTATTTTCAACACACGTTTAAGTGTTACACGAAAGAAGGAAAAGCCAAAAAAAAAATTCTGCAGGAATCTCGGAGACTCCACGTGACCGGTTACGGGTTAAGAAGACCAGTATGTGTGTGTGTGTAACGTTGAGTCTTGCATGGAGAGGAACAGTACTTTGAGTAATTAAGAGCGCAAATTTAGCACACCACCGTATATTGCATTTCCGAATAATCGCCTAGAACGCTATAAAAAATATAGATTGTTTTCGTTGTTGTACACCGGGGCGTAAGTTTTGTAAATAGAGTATACGTCTAATATTAATAATAATTGATTATCGTAAGCGACAAACACGACATCCCCATTTTAACGAAAACGACCGTAACGCGTGTATACTTGGACATTGTGATATTTTGGGCCCGCTGTTCCCATTATTTTCGACAGCGACGAGCCGTGCACATGATATTGTAAGAAGAATAAAGGCGGTAACCACAGTAGTGATTGCGAGCGACGACGAACCGTCGATTATTCTAGTTACGAATTTATGGTAGTCTTAGGTAAAAATTTAGTGATAAATATGAAATGAACGATATGCAGTTGTCAGTGTATTACTACGAAAAATGTATACGATTTTTAATGTACAAAAAAACAAAAAAAAAAAACAAACAAGTATAGCCGTGAGACGACCGATGTTCTCTCGACATTTCATCCTGCTGGTGCGATTTGTGTTCGGGATGAAGTAATTTATACTCGAACTGACCGTAGTAGACCTGTTCTATCTCGTTTCCCCCTCCCCCACCCTTTTTTTTTTCGTTCCCTCGTTATTTCCCTATTTTGTCTCCCTCTGGTCTCTACAGAATGTTTTCTACGCTACCGACTTGCACGTTTTTATACATATTTAAATAAGAAAGATCGGACACTGCGTTACCCAGTGTTTACAAAGTGTCCTGTGAAATTGCGTCATATCTCTTGTTGAATACGCGAAGGTTAAGTTTTATTTATCAGCTGTACGCGTGGATGAAATAGTATACTTTTTCTCGCGGATCGAATTTTTCGTCGAAGTGTAGCGAGCTTTGATTGCGAACGAATTAAGTTGTGTGTGAAATACTTTGCAACGACATGTTCAATTACGTATTTATCGCGTGATAATGTTCTTTTCTCTCCCGTTGGGCCGTACGTTTTACAAGAAGCAATGAAACATATTTGATAGAATGTGTCGGATACAAAAAAAGAAAAAAAAAAAATATGGACTGAATTTATGCATCTTTAACACAAATCATTATCGTCAATGACTTTAATTAGTGATAAATAGAAGAATTTTAATTTTTATCGTTGTATAGTTGTGTATAGAAGACAGCTAACAAGTTGTCATTTTAAACACTTGTAAGTGTGTAAAATAAATCATTATCAAAAAGTCAAACTCTTTATACCTCTTTAATGATTTTACTAATTAGAACCTTGTTGGTTTACCGTGAGAAATCTTTGCTTCGACCACTTCCAATAGTACAAACACCATTTTTATTTGAAAATATACATTTTTATATTGACGGGTACATACATCATGTTTATGGCATTGTAATAAAAGTGTTCACAGAGTAACTCAAATAAAATCACAGTGTAATGCGTTAAGTAAAACAAATTATTAGATATCTAAAGAGAATACATAGAAGATTGAACTTAAAGCAAGACAGATATGTGCGTTGTAGGTTTGAATGCATTTAAAATTATTAAATGTATCTTCAGGTACTAGGAAAATATTGTTTATATCGAACACATTTGAACTAATGAAACTGTTTTTGAATATTAATCAAGAGTAAGAAATTTAGAACGTAATTGATGTAAGAATAGTTCTATCCAAGAAAAGATACGGATATTCTAGAGTGGTATTTGTGTTTTTCAAGGGATATGTCGATGATTTTCAATATATAATTGCATAATATAATTTGTAAATAGATACTGACATTTAATACATACAGCACAAGTTTGGTCACTTTCCAAGTGTCATTTGCAAGGCCATTATTATCAGGTAAGTTATAATGTTAAGATAAATATCCTTAATGTTAATTCTTTTAAATCTCAAATGTACATTAGATATATTGATTCTTTTTATCTTATTATTTTCAACAAACAGGATACTTTGCATTTTTTATACATTCATTGTTAATTTATATAGACTTTAACATTGTGGTAAATAAATAATTTTATGTAACATCAAATGTGTTCGAAATTATATGTATAACCGTTGATATTTAAAATTTCAAATGGTTGCACTTTACCTGTTGCACATCTTCACAGAAAAGTTTCAACTCGTATTTTCATCACTCACAAACTAATTATTATAAAACACTGTCGAATCTACTATAAGCACTTCGATTAAATTAAAACTGTTTGCTTTAAAAAATATAAAATGTAAAAGTATCGGCAGTACTTTGGAAACACCATTTGCGCGGTAGTTAAAGAGAACGTATCGATTGTATTTCAACATTCGATTAATCGAATAAGTGTAAACGCTGTTCAATTTGAAATATCATTTTATGACACACACATATATATCGCATTTCGTCTTATTTCTCAAGTATAAGAGAAACATTTTAATACTGTTCGAAGAGAATTATTATCTAAAACACGCAGGAATAGTATTTTATATAAAATTGAATTGATTAAATTGGAATACACGATTAACGACACCGTAAGATTCAAATAATCCCGCGGTCGTCTACTTTCGGTTACCCTCGACTATGTTCGGTTAGTTCGCAAAGGCGGTAATCGGGACCGGTCAACGTTAAAATCGTGCGCGAAGATTTCGTGATTTTTTAAAACAATTTACGCCTGTCTGGTGGTATTGACTTGTTTCAATTAAAACAGTTACTTATACTTAACTCGTTAAGTGATAATTAAGTGATGTTGTGTGAGAAGGCAACAGTCGTGAGGCATTAATCGGAGTACCTCGTAATTCGAACATGTACTTCGCAAGAATAGTGTCATGGCGATGCAGATTCGAATTTGCGTGCAAGCAGCATAAGTTGAAAATGAAAAAGAGCACGTTCTTTTGTAAGAGGTACGTGTTTAAAGTCACGCTTGATTCGTTAAAAATGTTCGACAGTATTAAATAACTTTTGTAAGACTATTCTCCGGATATTCATCTTCCGAGGTTTCTGGTTCCGTGTTCAATTTACTAAAGTCTCGCGGATTTGGTCGTTTCTCCATTATCTTGAAACTTTTGCCTCTTCTGTTTTCCAAGAGATTCGAGAGTTTAAAGTTTTCTCGCCTCTCGGCTTCCCACCGCATTCGCTTGCGCATTATTAACAAACATCCTGTTTATAAAAATAAAGGATATTAGATAATTTCTAAATAAAACAATCGATCAATTCATTTACTCGTACTTGATAGTAATGGCGTCATGATTTTTCATCGTTACTTTCGTGTCTAATTTATGTCACAATTCCAACCAAAAAAGATGCATTCTATAGACGGTGTGATAATAACGCCGAAATATAGCCGCTACGTATTTTTAAGCATCGTGCACTATGAGTACTATTTAATACTTACATAATCGTCCGTTAAACATTACCGAAGTTAAATAGGACAACGCGCAGGGGAATAACAAAAAACATTGTTGAAATTAAAACATGTATATATATTTTCCTTTACAAGATGTCGACATTTAAAATAAATAAACGATCATGTACAAGAGGTAGAAAATGAAAAAAATGCAACTGTTCAATACTGATTACGCGCGGTAAATTCATTATGCTTTAGTTCTTGGATACAGTACGAAGTTCAATAATAAGTCTATAAATAAAAAAAAACGTTTATACATTTGTGCGATCACAGGGATTTTTAAACAATATTTACAGAATAAGTACATAAATTACTAAATATTCTATTATTTAAATGGAAGTCAAGTGAAATGGTTGGAATGTTAAGTAAATGCAATTTAAGTTTCTAGATTTAACTTATAAAACAGCTATCTAATTGACTCATATAGCAAAATATAAAAACTAAAGCAGTATCCTTGTAGAATAGGAAGGATTAATATCAATTCTTCTACATGATAATACTTTGTATATAGTAGTTGTAAAAATCATAATTGCAATTGAAATAAAACTAGTATTTAGTCGTTTAACCAGCAAATTGTACATTTATATACAACTCTCTTGTACTGGCCTAAGTTGAAAACGGAAAAATATTAGCATCTCTCTAATACACAATACTTTCCTTTCATATATGTAGGAATAGGGTTTCATTAAAGTATCTATTCCGCTAGTTACAGAGATAACACGACGAGTAAGACTAGTTCGTAGGGCCTACACAGGCCTTATCGTATCTGATCGTATCGTATCGTAGCGTATGTTAAGCGTATCGTATCGTGGCGTGTTCGTATCGTAACGTATCGTAGCTTCTTGCAGACTTCTCACTCCGAACTGACAGACTGACAGACTCTTTCCAGACTAATTTCCGACTGATCCCTTGTGTCGCGGGCACGCGCTTTTATCCTTGCCCAGTTCGAACGTTCCAGACATTTTTTCTAAACTCGGTACGACCGGGCTAGGGTTTTTGCCTGCCCGGTCGCGTTACGTTGGAATATTCTCGGAGTTAATGCTCACATAGACACACACACTTAAGCCTGCCGGCACGTGCCGATCAGCCGGTTCTTAATTATCCGTGTCCTTATTGCTTCCTAAATTCGGCATATTTGGGTTAACGTTTTTGCCTGCCCGGTCGCGGTACGTCAACGCTCATATACACGCATACACACTTAAGCCTGCCGGCACGTACCGATCAGCCGGTAAATACATCGAGAAGATTCGATTGTCCGTGTTCGCGGTTTCTCTTATCATGCCTGCTTCCTACATATATGTGAATTTTTTTTGATGAAATGATAGAACATCGATGCATCACATTAAACATACGCAAAGCCAGTACAAAAGCTTTTGAAATTTTATGCAGCATAAAGGTTAAAATTGTTTTTAAAAACTAAGGGGAAAAAAGTAGCAAGTTCGCAAACGTGAAATTCGTGAAAACTATCCGTCCTTCCTTCTCTAATCGTTAAGGAAGTTTCACTTTGCTAAATATCGTATAATAGGTTAATAAAATTAGCTACTTTTCATAGAATAACTACTAAACGCTTGGTTTCGGCTAAACTAATTAACATGCGTGCACAGCTATTACTCAACAACTCAAAATTAGTCAAATGAATATTCTTATTCGACTAGTTTTGAGAATTCAACAGCAGATTCACCATACTGAAACAATCTACCTCTTTTTTGACATCTTGCTACAACTGCAGCAATTGCTATACAGAGGGCAATAAAAATGACTGCTGCTGTAACAAGGGATAAGACTAATGTTGCTGTTGTAGTACCTCCAGAAGAATTGCTAATATCACTGTCCGTTAAAGGTGCTGGTTCATGGTGAGGGTTTGTGTGTACCATAGAATTTCCAATTCGCGTCGATGCATTTATATCTGTAGAAATGTTACGTTTTATATATTTGAAACGATCTTTATTTATTTTTATTCAATTCGCTGCTAGGATTTAATATCTCACCTTGCAAGAATTTATATGCAACATGTATATTTAGTTCCACCACATATATTTCTGAGCCATTCTCAGTTACAGCTATATCGTGTGGCATAAACATGTCATGACCTGGCCCAAATTGCGATAGTATACTTCCAGAATTGACATCGAGAACGAATCCTCTGATGTGTACATTGTAATTTGCATTTGTATCAGGACCGTTGACCAAATAAAGCCTTTCCTTAGCATATGCTACACTGTATATCCTTGCACCAATAGTAGGATGCTTGTATTCTTTGTGGAAAGTACCATTGCTTGTAAAGAAAGATAAAATTCTACCATTTTCCCGATCAGCAACGAAAATTAAGTTAAATTCGCTAGCAAGCGCTAAAGCATGAGGTACATAAAAAGCATATGGTGGAGGAGCCTGATCATACATGCTTCCTACAACGAAAAGTATATATTTATCGTGTACCATAATTTCAATTAGATTATTATCCTTTATATAAGTACATATCAAGTACAAACGTAATTACCTCTTCTTCCCCAGGGTCGACCCCATTGCAAAATTCTTTTTCCTCTAGCATTAAATTTAATGATTCTATAATTACAGTAACCATCACTGACAAAAAAATCACCATTACTCTGTACAGCAACTGCTGTTGGTTTGCAAAATCGTTTATCATCATTACCAGGTTCAAATTCCTCCCCAAGAATCAACGATGGTTTGGGCATGTAATTATCAAACATAGTATCAGTATTACGGCTACGAGGGAACATTGACTCTTGGTTGTATTGCCTTTTCTTCAATTTTGCCATATCTTTCATCACTGCTATATCCTTAGCATCAAATTTGAATACCTGATGTAAGGCTACATCGGTAACCCAATAATTTCCGTGCAAATCTATCGTTAAACCGTGTGGCAAATAAAACATGCTTTCACCCCATTCCAGTAGCTTCTTTCCAGATTTATCTAACAAAATTATAGCATTCTCCTGAATTGGTCCTTTATTCGAATTAAATCTGTTCTGATCATCGAACGTAGTCGTGCCCCAAACTTGCGATCCTCTGTGAAATATTCCAATATTGCCATTTGGATCTATAGATACTGCTGATATCTGACCAAACTTTATATCAGTGGCCCAATTAGGAGTCCATACAATATCTGTATATATTGAAAAAATATATATATATACCATATATAACATATTTCATACCTCGCTGTTATAAAATACTTTACTTACTTTTATCAAATTCATCCGACACCTGTGGTTCGCTATCTGTTGTAGTTTTTGATACATGTTCATTGCGATACAGGTCAGAGTACTCTGAGTATTCACCGAAGCCAAATTTCTTCTCAGGCAAATGTATTGCTCTATGCTGTAACAATAAATATGTCAATCAGATCGCATCACTTACTTCAGCAACATTATACTAACACAAACTAGTATGCAAACTCAAGGCAAAAATTCAAAAATCTTATTCAAGTTTAATTTACTTTACATATTCTATTTAACAATAACTAATTTCAAATCTACAATTTTTCACTTGTTCCTTTTTATTATCGACCGATTTTTCAACCGTACGTTCGATTGTTTAATCTTACCTCAGGGCCCAGATAATCCTGGTAATCCCCCTTGACGAGATTTAAAATAAATAAAACTGAAATGCAACAGGCAATGTCATGTTGTAGATGCGTCATTCTTAAACAGCACAACCATTAGATTCCAATCCTCTCAATTGATTCGCTTCGAATTATTATTTACCAGGCGTTTAAACATCGGTCACGTTGCATAGTCAAATCTTAAGAAATTAACAACTCGGTAGAGATATGGGTCATCTCAAACTTATAACGCTCCCTCAACGCCACGCGTATGGTCACTGCCGAATGCAACAGGGATCACGAATAGCCATCTGACGGCAATCCCATGGAATACATTCGGTAAACCTGATTATGCGTCTATAAGGAAGATTAACTAATCTATACCTCTGATTTCAACGCTAAACACACGTACAAGCGCGTGTATCGACAGCGAAGAAACACGAGCAAGCGTGTACGATGTGTTCGAACAATTACAACTTTTGCTCGTGAAACATATTTGAAAACACTTCTTCCGTGCTAGTATATGGAGTATTGATTACTCCCTGCGAAGATTAGTTGTCCGTATCCCTTATTTTCAATGCGTGAGCATATGGTCGAATAACGATTAAACGGACGAAATGATTTAACGAAAAGTTACAGAACTACGTGTGCCGTAGTACTTTACGTAGTAGAACTGATAAACGTTGAAAATGTGGAAAAACTTCATTACTTTCACGATATTCGAGTCACGACGATTTGATACTTCTCTGCAGCAAACATTTCTCATTTTTCCCTGCTTGTACGTCTATATTTACTCGTGCGCCTTGCTATCTCGCGTTTTTACTATCTTTATACTTCGAGCACTCGATATACGTTACGATTCATAAATCGATAATAGCTAGTGTCATTGATATTTCTATATTCTCGGACTTTAGAACGGGCTATTTGTAATTATCGCGGGGGGGGAGGATCTGAGAAGCGTATTCTGCTAGTTCAGAGGCGAAGTAAAAGTGTTTCGTTGTAAGACTCGGATGAAAATTGAAAAAAAAAAGAAAAACAAAAGATAGGAATGTTTCCATAAAAAGGTAAAGTGTATTTTGTGAATAAAAATAGGAGAATGTTTGTCGAAGCGTTGGCTAGATTTATTTAACGATAGGAACGGTCGGTTCTCTAACAATTTCTACCCGTTGCAACTTGGATAATCGATGTAACGCATTGAAATTGCAACAATAATTGTAATCGTGCTAATTAATTGAGAGTGCGGCAATGCATATTTGTACAGATTACAGGAATATACTGATCGATAAGTTCGTACCGAGAGCGAAAAGTATTTCAACGAAATTCTATCGCGATGACTTAATGACCTCAGTAAAAAAAAAAAGGAAGAAAAAATCGAGGAACGAGAAGGTACCTTTTTTAAATGAAATTTAAAGGTCTGCTGGAAATATCGATTTAAATAATAAAATTCGACAGGAACTTATTCGATCGCACGTGAATTTTACCACACCTGAGATTCTACCTTTGTCTCTAAATACCTGGCCACGTCGGTAATGCTTCCCTTTACCTGTTCAGGTGTATCGATTCGTTGCCACCTATTTTACTCTGTCGCCGCTGCAAGGCACCACGAGTTTCGTTATCTCTCCCTTTCGAACTTGGAACGATAAATCGAAAATTTCAATCGACTCTCGATAACAATTTCTCACGAGACTTTCCCACCATCGTCGCAACACAATTTTACAATCCATCCTCCTAAGATTTCAATTGCACCTCTCCGAGAGTTACTTCGCTCTCGCACGCGGTTCAATCCGTCGAATTATTCATAACTGTGTTAAAAGTCGCGTCGAAAAGACACCCCCGCTGTTTCACAAATGAAAACTGCCGATCACCAGACCACACTCGTGCAAACAATCTCACCTCGCAGCTAAGAACCACCGGGGGGTTAATGCAGAAACCAGAAACGATTCGCTTGTTATTTGACTTTCTTCGACAATTACTACGCTCTAACCGTAGACAGATGAAAATCTCCTTAACTAGGTACACGTTCCAGAATATCCCATCTTGTTCTACCATATTCAGGAACGCATCGTCAATAGCCCCTCTTATCGCTTTTGGCCCCGAAGTACGTATTCGACGCGTGTAGGAGCATTTTTATGGCTCGTGCTACATTGTTACGCTAGACGTAGACATATTACCGACCTATGGGAGTCCATTTTCATAATGTATACCGGGGGTTAGTCCTTCGATGAAACTTTCCGTTCTTAACGTCTCGCGGCTGGAACAGACGTTGCTAAGTTTTATTGTCTGAAACCTGTGAATCATTCAGACTTGTCTAATGGAACTTCAGAGCGCACGCTGACGAATGGAACGGGTCACTCGAGTAATCAGATAACAATATTCTTCGACTATTCTCCCTCGAAACCATATATCCTACTGTCACAATTCTTCGTCAAACGTGAGAGCTAATTTATCATTGTTTTTCTTTTCTTTTCGAATCGTATTCTTTATCGTCAATGTTCCCTTTGTAAAAGGGAAAGTAGTTTTTGCCGCGAGACGTGATAATTACACGGTTCGGTAAGAATTCGATAGGTTTCTGAATGCGCTCGATAGAAATCGACGGTTTCGAACAATTTGGTACAAAGGCACACTCACTTTTCACCATTGTGCCATTATGCTCCCGGGTTCGAGAGCCCTGAATTTTGACACTTCTGTCGTTATATCCGGCCGGGAGCCGTGGCTCACTCGAGCACCGTCGTGGTTCAACAATGGTGCTTATCCTTTCGCGCGCGACTCCGAAGGGTTGCGTATTCGATTTTGTTCTAATCGACACGTCCCACCCTCGGTGTTGTCTCGTCTTACCCGCTCTGCAGACGACAGTGATTTCTGTATTGTTGTACGGGCACAATTGCCGAGTGAAAATAAAGGAAATAAACGCGACTGGTGTCCACCACGAGTCGTACTTAACGTCCGACGACGACGCGGGTCCACTTCGAAGGGAAAAGAGTTGACAGCCACTTGGTAGAATCCTTTATCTTCTTCTCCGCGTTCTTCTTTCGATCGATAATCTATCTTCCGGTAGAATGTTTAGTTTATTTATTTGTTTTTTTTTTCAAGTTTTTCATTCGGTGAAAAGTACGCGCTTGATTTACATTTGTATGAATTAACCGAGGGAATCGAGGGGTCACCCGTACTACAGAAAGATAAAGTGGGACGAGTTGAGGTGGACGGATTCCAGTTTCTGTAATTCGGCAGGAGAAGTGAAGAAAAAAAGAAGTTGCTCGTGATTTTCGACCACCGCGAAATTTTTATTCAGGTCGCTGGGGAAAAACTTCTCGATCGGTGTGTTCCAACGACGGCAACGCGTATCGTTCGACGCGAATTCGTCGAGAATTCACGGAATTTGCAAATAATTCAAGAACAGCGGTCGCGACACACTGTAGAATCCTCGATGATTGTTTTTCACATTCTATAAATCCGCGACGAGACGAGGCTTGGCAAGCGTTCGCTATTACCACTTCGACGACGAATATTCTCCACCTTTCTCTCTCTCTCTTCGTCATCGTCGTCGTCTCTCCCTCTCTCTGGAGTCGTTTGTTCGATTTTCCCGGAGTCAGGTGAAACCGGGTAAGAGAAAGCCAAAAAAAAGAGGAAGGGAAGAGAAGGGAGTGAAAAAAAGGGCGGCGGTGGAGAAAGAGCGGGGGAAAAGAGAAAAGTGTGCCACAGAGTAAAAAGGAAACGATCCACGATGCAACGAGATTCTTTAATCTCGTCCGTCGTTCGACACGTATCTGTGACAGATGTTCACACACAGATACACCAGAGCGCCTATCGAGTTTCGGTTTTGTGCTTTTTAACCTTTCAGCCGCGGGGGCTGAAAGAATCGTCGTCGGTTTTCCTCTTTTCCCTCTGTTTCTCGTTACTGTCTCCCCTCATCCCTCTTCCTTTGGCCGTGTCTGTGTTTGCCTCTTTCTTCCCTGAAAATGCAAAAATAAGCGTGGCGTATGCGGCCGAAGGTAGGTGGAAAAAAAAAAGAGAAGAAGGGAGAGGAGCCGCGTTCGTTAAAATATTCGCGCAAAAGAACCCTAGGCATTTCTGCCTCTGATTGCGACGAAATAGAACGACACGGTACGATTTAACGCTTTTGCGTAGGTTATGGAGTAACGATGTAAAAGGGAAAAGGGGAAATGCGCGAGAAGAAAGGGGTTGGATGGCAAAGAGCTACGAGAGAGCGATGGAAAGTAAGAGTTTCTACCGAAGGGTACGGGAATTCGCGTTCCGCGAAAACAAAATGCTAATGGGTGGAATCGCGCGAATCAAAATAGTAGCAATTCTCGCGATCGGAGACGAGCTCTTCATTTCTGTAAATTGGACGAAAAATTGTGTAAAGCGTAATTGTTCTTCGTACGAAACTTACGTTCAGCTCTGCCGTGATTCCGGCCAATTAAAGTATTCCGGTTGACACACTTTGCATAATTTATTTCTCGTAACGGGGATAAGTACAGCTTTCTGTATTATTCTAATAAATTTCCTCTTACTATGTTTCTCTTGTGCTTCGACGCCTCTCGGAACTAGTGCACGCGAAATTCCCGTGCAGCGTACAGCCACGCTTTTCGAATTCCACCTCGTTCTTCCCGGGGAAAAACACGTCGATCCGCGGACGGGAAATTAGAAAATGGAAGAGAGGGACGGATGAAGAGGTGGGAAGAATGAAAGTTGGAATGAAACGCGACAGATCAAGTGTCAGGCACGCAGTGTCGAAAGGATCGACAGTGTCGAAGCCGAGGAAACAAGCTCGCTCGGAATTGCAACGTTCGACCGTACGTTAAAAGTAGCGGGCCGTCGATCGATAACACATGCAACGCCCGAGCTGCAATAATAAATTATCCGTGCACGAGGCGCGAAATAGCGATCCGGCTAGATAACGTCACCGAGCTAGAACATGCTAAGATTACCGTGGGATTTCTATTTGCTGCTCGTCCTCCTCCTCCGTCTTCTTTAAATCTAGCTTCCATTCGTTATTTTAAAAGGAACATGCCGATAAAGGAATCGATTTCGTAGCCGGGCGTTTCGTTCAATTTCACCGCGTACCTTTTACCAGATTAAACGGTACAATAATTAAAATA